CTACCAGATCTTCGCCGCCGACATCTCCATTTCCACCCTCAACAACCCCAATCCAAACGCGAAACACGTGATTTCCAAGTACAGCGACCTCAGCGTCACCCTCGATTTCCCCTCGAACAACCTCAAGTTCTACCTCGTCCGCGGCAGTCCCTTCGTGACCTGCAAAATCAGGCGCAAGGTCCCGCTCTCAATTTCGACCAACCACACGATTCGAGCCCTAATCCCTAACACCGACCTCACGAAATACACAATCAAGCTCAACAACAGCCAGACATGGCTGCTGTACGCCTCGCCACCTGTAAAATTGACCTTGAACAAAAACAGCATCAGCAGCTCGACCGAGTATTCCGGGCTGATCCGAATAGCCGTCCTACCCGACCCGAAATCCGAATCCGTTCTGGATCGGTACAGCTCCTGCTACCCCGTGAGCGGCGAAGCTCTTTTCAACGAACCTTTCAGGATCGACTACAGATGGAAGAGAGAAGGGTCGGGAGATTTGCTAATCCTAGCCCACGCCCTCCATCGCCGCCTCCTCTCAGCTGACTCCTCAGTTACTGTGCTCGAGAATTTGAAGTACAACAGCGTGGACGGTGAGCTCGTTGGCATTGTCGGCGATTACTGGACCATGAAAACCCAGCCTGTGCCGGTGACCTGGCACTCAATCGAAGGAATTAACAAACAATACTACTCTGAAATCATCCAAGCTCTCGATAAGGACGTTGAGTCCCTCAACGCCAGCTCAATCTCCACCAAATCTTCCTATTTCTACGGGAAATTGGTCGCTCGAGCCGCCAGGCTGGTGCTGATAGCCGAGGAAGTTTCTCACCTCGATGTGATCCCAACTATCCGGAACTTCTTGAAGAAGACGATCGAGCCCTGGTTGGACGGCACTTTCAATGGCAACGGGTTTTTGTACGATCCGAAATGGGGCGGGCTCGTGACCGAACAAGGCTCGTTAGATCAAACGGCCGATTTTGGATTCGGGATTTTCAACGATCACCATTATCACATCGGCTACTTCATCTACGGGATATCCGTGCTAGCCAAGATCGATCCCGATTGGGGGAGAAAATACGAGCCTCACGCTTACTTCTTGATGGCCGATTTCATGAACCGCCGGAGGAGGAGAAAGGGGAATAATAATATTAATAATTCGAGCTACACTCGTCTGAGATGCTTCGATCTTTACAAAATGCACTCGTGGGCCGGTGGGCTTACCGTTTTTGCCGATGGGCGCAATCAAGAAAGCACGAGTGAGGCTGTTAACGCGTACTATTCGGCAGCTCTAATGGGGATGGCTTATAAAGACACAAGCTTGTTATCTTTCGGGTCGACTCTATTGGCTCTTGAAATGAAAGCTGCCGAAACTTGGTGGCACGTGAGGAAAGACAATTATCTGTATCCCGAGAAGTTCGTTAGGGATAATAGGGTTTGTGGGGTGCTGTGGTCGAGCAAGAGGGATAGCGGGCTTTGGTTTGCGCCTCCCGAGTCGAGAGAGAGCAGGCTCGGGATTCAGCTGCTTCCACTTTTGCCGGTTAGTGAGGTTTTGTTCTCTGATTTGCAGTACGCAAAGGAGCTTGTTGATTGGACTGTACCAGCTTTGAAGAGGGAAGGGGTAGCGGAAGGGTGGAAAGGCTTTTTGTACGCGTTGAGAGGGGTTTATGATCCGAAGGAGGCTTTGGAGAGTATTCGGAAGTTGAAAGGGTTTGATGATGGGAATTCTTTGACGAATCTTTTGTGGTGGGTTTACAGCAGAAGGGTGAATGGGAGCTTCAAGTACTAGCAATATAACTGTGATTCATTCGGGTTGATGATTGTTTGGGTTAAGGAGGAAAAATGGAAGGAAAAAAAAGCTGAGTCCTTTTTATGGTTTTGTTTTGTTTTGTTTTCATGGTGGTTTAATGATTTTTATGTGGTTTTTGTATTGAGTTGCATGTGTTTTAAACTTTTAATGTCTCCCCTCTATATGGGAAATCCTCAGTTTCATAATTAAGTGTGTGGTGCAAATCGCAAATCTTTTTTCTGAAGTTTTTGATTTGATGAGTAACGTTGCATTTGATTTTCTGTTTGAAATTTGAGATTACACTGATGTTTTGTAGAATGGTGAAGGGAAAGCGTCTTTTGACGAGCACGAAAGCTGAAAAGGACACTTCGTTCACTAGGAAGCATTTGTGAACTCCAAAGTCCAAAGAGAGTGTATCACTATGTGAATGAGATGAGATGAGACGAGTCGAGCATTCACCTCATTTGAATTAGAGTGAATTATTTTAACCACGGATCAAGCATCATGATGGAGATATGCGTCACAAATTTCAAATTAATACATGCTCGAGTAAGACTCAATTGATTTGTTATATCGTGTAAGCTTGGATTTGGTGGAGTTTTGAAATAAATTAAATTATTTAACCACGGATCGAGCATCTTGCTCGAGTTAATAAATCTCGAACTAATACATGTTTGAGTTCAACCCAAGGGCTCAATTGATTTGTGATATCGTGTACCGTCAACGTATTCGTGATGTTGTGTAGCTTGGGTTCGACCAAGGTTGATTCGGACTTTTGACTAAAAGCTCATATTCATCTCATCTATACTTATATAAAGAGCAGTCATATTTACTAAAATTAGTAGCAAAAAAATAGGTCAACATTTAATGCAACTCATAAATAGTAGTTTTATTATTTTTCTTATTTTTTTTTATTTAAAAATCATACAATTTAATTTATAAATACGCTTTAATATAATCATACAATTTAATCATACAATTTAATTTATAAAAATCATACAATTTATTTTTTTAAAATACGCTTTAATATATATATATATAGTAATTTTTGTAATAAATTTGAATAAAATTTGTTACTTAAATAACTAAATAATTTAAAAATTCAAATGTTTAAGTTAATTGATAAACAATTTATAAATCTCTATTTTATTTAAATATATTATTTTATTTAAAATACCAAATTTATTTAGAAAATCGTATTGATCATACCAATTCAACCGACTGGTGTTGACAGATTCAATAGAAAATATTTTATTCAAGTGAACTAGACT